CGAGCGCATGCGAGGCGAAGAAGCAAGCGCCCTCCGCGCCCCCGTTCGGGGGCCCCTGGAGGGCCCCTTCGAGGGCACAAGAGAAGCACCCTGCTTCACCCCCTCGCATCGCCCACCCCTCTCGAGCGAATGCGAGGCGAAGAAACGCGCGCCCTCCGCGCCCCCATTCGGGCGCTCCTGGAGAGCCCCTTCAGGAGCACAGGGGAGGCACCCTGCTTCACCAACCCATGCATCCCCCCCCCCCCTTCCCCCCTCCTTTCGAGCGAATGCGAGGCGAAGAAACGCGCACCCTCCGCGCCCCCGTTCGGGGCCCCCTGGAGGGCCCCTTCGAGGGCGCAAGGGGGGCACCCTGCCTCACCCCCCAATGCATCGCTAGGTATCGCCCCCCTTTCGAGTGCATGCGAGGCGAAGAGACGCGCGCCTTCCGCGCCCCCCGCCTGGGCGCCCCCTGGAGGGCCCATTCGAAGGCGCAGGAGAGTCACCCTGCTTCACCCCCCCCCCATGCATCGTTAGGTCGGGCGCGTCCCCTTTGGGGCGATGCGCGCCGCTGCGGTGGAGGCCGCGCGGCCTCGGAGCTCGGGGCCAGCCACGGGGCCTCCGGGCGCGGCGGGCGGCCCCCCTCCATGGAGAGGAACAAAGGACGGCACAGACACATGGGACTTTTGGAGCCCCGCGCGGATTTATTGGATCTACGCTGGGGTCCCCTACGGCATCGACGGCCGTGCGGTCTCGGAGCTGGAGCCAGCCTCGGGGCCTCCGGGCACGGCGGGCGTCTCCCCTCCACAGAGGAACAGATGACTGCCTGCCAGACCACCCCTACCTGACCCGACGACCCAAGTGTCGGGTTGGGGGGGTACAGGTTCCACGTGTTTTTTCGATGTTCCCCGACCCCCCCCCATCTGGAGATCGAGGGTCAATTTGGGCCTTCAGGTTGGGTTGGGGTGGTTTGGTGGGTGGTGAGCAAAGAACGGCACAAACATAAAGCTTGTGGAGCTCCGCGCGGATTTATTGGATCTGCGTTGGGGCCCCTACGGCATAGGCGTAAAACTGTTGGAGCTCCGCGCGGATTTGTTGGATCTACGTTGGGGCCCCCTGGCGGCGCCTCTAGGCGGCTCTGGCGGAGATCCCGAGAGATCCGCGCAGAGCTCCAAGAGTTCATCTTTTCGCGCCCGTTTTTTTTTGCCCCTTCGGCTCCAGGCCCCCTGGCCGCCCACTTTCGCCAATCGCGCCCCGCGATACGCGTCGCGCGGCAACCTTTCGCACTCTCGCGCCGCCGCCCTTGAGAGCGGCGCCTCTCGGGCCCAGGCCGCGCCGCGCGAAGCGCGATGATCTTCGCGCCCCCGCGGGTGACCCGGGACCCCTCGGGCGACTCTGGCCGCCGTGGTGGTGGCTGTGCAGTCGGAGCTGGAGCGGGCCTCGGGGCTTCGGGCGGGCGGGCCCGGCTTCGTCCCCTGCGGAACGCAGAACGGCCAGGTCGGCGCCCGCCTCTGCGCTCTCCACATACACGAGCTGGGCCTGTGCAAGACGGCGCCAGTGGAGCAGAAGGCCAAGGTGTCGCTTGACGGCGGTGTGGTGGCCGAGGTAGACGTGGCAGTCCAGAACGGCGACAGGAGCGTGGACGCCCCGCTGGAGTCAAGCGCCGCGGACGAGCCGTGCGTCATGGCCCCAGTCGTGAACATGGAACAACATGGACGTCGTCGAGGGCGTGGATGCCCCAGTCTTGCTCGTGGTCGAAGGCGTGGACGAGGACGACGTGGTGCAGGCCGCGTCGCTCGAGGCGCAAGAGGGGCCCCATTCGGGGGGGGGGGCCCGCCGACGGCTGGGGGGCGGCGCAGTCGCACCTCGAGCAGGTGAAGATCGTGCCGTTCACTGACATGACTGTTCATGCAGGTGCGAGGGCTCAGAGGGGCATCAAGCAGGTTGTGGACGAGGGAGTGGAGCCCCCGCCCGCTGCGAGCGAGTTCCTCGACGCGCAGGACGTCGTGGCGGTGGCGGCGGCTGGTGGGCCCACGGCAGGCCCCACAGAGAAGGGTGTCTGCGTGCCGTTCACGCCGGGCTGGGAGTACCGGCAGCCTCGCAGGCCCTTTGCTGCGGTCCGGGGGAGCAGCTGCTTGGGGCCTGACGAGACGAGGAATGGAATAAGACAGCATCAGCTTGGAGAAGCGGATGGCTTGCGCGCTTTGTCGCTGAAAGCAGCTTCAAGTAGCAGCGTCATGCTTGTACCGTCGATCGCTATGTATCCATACTCGGGGTACGGTACCACTTACTTCACCCTAAACTTATGTCGGGCATGTCCTCCTGTAGGCGGATTTTGGAGGAAAAACAAAAAATGTACACAAATACGCAAAAATAGTCAAAAATAGTCAAAAAATCGTCCCCTGAACTATTTTTGAAGATTCCTCATGAAGAGGGACACGTCCGACTTAACCCTCAACCTCAGGCCCGCAGCGACACGGTCTGTGCGGGCAGCGGCGTCGGCCCCACACATCCGCGTACATGGAGCGCTCGTCGACGATCTGATTGTCCCCCATGGCGCCATCCTGAGAAGGACTGGGAGTCGGGAGCGGTCGGGAAAGGGGAATGATCAGGGCATGAGCGACGGTGCGTGTCCCCTGTTCTCCTCTGAACGCCAGGGCCAAGATCAGGTGCCCCTCAAAAGCCTGGGCCGCCTTTCAAGCTATATCTTGACCAACCGCTTGGCCAGCCCTCTGCATGCACGTGGGCATGCTGACGGAACCCAGAGCCAAAACGAACAGAGAAGTTGTTCCATGCTCGGCACAGCTGCATTCATCAGTCATCATTCACCATCTCACTTATTCTCCTCCTCTGCAAGGTCTTCCAGGCAGCACCAGGACCCCATAGTGGACAATGAGACGGCAATGCCATGTCGCTTACTCGTGTCAATGTCCACACCACGATCACGACGTCACGACGATTCGATATGAGAGCACACGTGTTGACAGCGGACTGGGAGACGAGAGCAGGGAGGGTAGGCAGCAAGCGAAAGGAACGAAGGGATGAGTGAGGAAGGAGCCGCCGAAAACGCAGCCATGAAAAGACGGTGTCGTATCAACGCATGGTACTTGAACTAGAGTTCGCCGCACGTCGTAAGGGTGCAAGGTAAGGATGCAAGACACTTGGGCGTCTAAGTTGCAACCCGCTGCAAAGAGGAACACTGGGGGCTGGCCAACACAACTGGATGATAATGGGTCGAGAATCGTTGAGGGCTTAACGACTTATGTCGTCCCTCGACTCGCGCTGGAGCGGCCACGACTTGCTCCAAATTTCATGGGGTGATCTCTGGACTTACCTGGACTTGCTTAGATCTACCTGGCTGTACGTCGATTTGTCTGTATTTGCATTGATCTATCCCGCTGGATCCCCACAAGTCGATCGAAGAAAAGTTGTTAAGCCATTTAGCGAGAGAAGGCAAGGATGCGAGGGCAACCGTGGAGAACAACCTCACCCTTAGCATGGGTGGTGACTGCAGCACGTCCGCCATGATCCGAGAATGCTTAACACAATGAATCCGCCGACCCTGTCGGCGTGTGTGAGGGGCTTTTCCGTTCGAGCCGTCATCTCCGTTATTCTTTGTACTCGTCGTCTCTGTCCGTCCCTTTCCCTGGGACTC